ATTATTATTATTATTATTATTATTATTATTACTGTTACAGAATGCTCATGGTGTTATTGATGCCCGTGAGTCCAGTATCAACAGTTTAGAGTATAACCTCACCAATGAGAGAGGGAGGATCAAGGAACTGACCAAAAGGATGCCGTCACTAGAGACCAGACTATCAGGAATAATGGAGGAGACCAGCTCAGTGAAGAGACAGCTGGAGGAGAAGACAGGACAATTACTATTAACAAGGAAACAACTTAAAATAGCAAGAGAGAAGAACTCAGTAAGAAATACATGTAATAATGTACATGTACATACATGTACATGTACAATAATAGTACATGTATTTGGCATGTACAGTATTTTGAAGGACATCAAAAGAATGGGCTACAGTAATGCTTCATGGTACATGTACATGTACATGTAGCTTTTCAAAAATTAGAATCAATTTTGGTATATGGCCAAAAAACATTACTTTGAATCAAATAAAACTTTCTACATGTCATTGTAAAACATATACATGTACATGTACATGTAGCATACAGTGCCAAATATAATCACATTGATCAGTCCTGATTCAGCCTGAATCAGTCCTGATATATCAGACATGGATCATGGATTTTGGGCAATCAGTCCTGATACAATCATGGAGTCAGCCACTGTACAGGCATGATAAGCATCTATACTGGATCAGGCCAGACCGACTTTCATGATTCAGCAATGATAGCCAACAGGGCTGTACCAGTACTGATATCAGACTTGGGTCATTAATTTTGGGCAACATTTTGAATCAGGCCTGAAGATATTTGGCTGTGTAAATATACATGTACATGTAATTTAATCAATCATTAATGATTATTATTGTACTATTATTAGGAGATTGATAAGAAGATGGAGAGTTTGGAGCAGATGAGAGAGAGACTGAGTAACATGGACATGGAGAACAGGACACTGAAGGAATTCCTAACAGCAAAGACAGCAATGGTGGAGAAGAGAAAGAGAGAAATACAACAGGTACTGTACATGTACAATAAAGAGGAGACTATGGGGGTTGGGGAGAGAGAGAGACAGAGGGGGGAGAGAAAATACAATGTACAGTACTGTACATGTACAGTACATGGTTCATTAAGCTTGTGGCTGCTTTGATGTACCACTTTATGATATTCATAACAGTGTGTGTGTGTGTGTGTGTGTGTGTGTGTGTGTGTGTGTGTGTGTGTGTCAGGTGTCACAACCCACGATGATATTGTCACATTTTGTCAGTATAAAACTACATGTAAATGTGTTATGTAATTGAAAAAGTATAAGTTATTATTCTGAATTTTTGGAGGGACTTAATGGTCCCCAAAATCTAATTTTTGAGCCAAATGTCTTGAATTGTGCTCATTTTCTTGATAAAATGATGAAGATATTGATTTTGCCAGATGTATGTACATTTTTGAATAACAAAAATAGAGAAAAACTTTGCAAGTAAAATGATCTTGAGTGTCTTTAATTCTTTGTGGCATAATTCTCAATTTAAATGTAAATGTGTACATGCAGGAACGTTGTGGTTCATTAAAGGCCATGCTTACATGACTACGTTTTAAAGTAAAACGGATATTTTTTGGCCGGATAAAGGTCTTGTTTACTCTTAAGGCTGGCTTCCATTTTACCTCTACAACAGCCTTACGACACTGTTGCAACAATCATGGAGATTGAAATCAGGTCTGTATCTCTACAACAGTAGTATGCTAACCACAGAATCCATACAACACCCACACTATACTACCGTACGGCACTTTAATTTTGCGGAGCTAAAATTTTGCTGATTGATATAAATCAATTTTTTTTGTGGAAATGACTTTTGCAGATTTACAATGTTAGTGCCACGTCTTTAATGGCAATTGAAATTTTAGTGGATTTTTAATTTCGCATTAGCATGCTAAGCCATAAAAATAGTGAAATTTTTGCTCCTTGAAAATAATACTATGTTTACACTAGCTTCTTTAACTGAGAACTGTTTAAAGTGGGCCAGCACAGTTTCATTTGATAAACAGTAACCAAACTGAGCTGAAGTGAGCTGGGCCAAACCAGGCCAGCATGGTTAGTACAGGAGGGCCGCTCAGCCTGGCTCAACACGGTTTGGTCCAGTTCCATAGTGTAAACGTAGTATAAAGCACTATATTGTATTCCCAACTCAGTTTGGACCGCAAGCAGTTGCATTGGAATTTGAAAAATTTAGTCAGGGGCATAGCCAGGGGGGGCAAGGATGGCAATTGCCCCCCCCTTTTTTTAAATCAAAATTTATAAATTATGAAATAATAAGCTGCTTTTGGAAAGAAAAGCTGCTCTAAAACTTACATATGAAAGGAAAAGGCCAAAGCAGTCTTTCTATGATGCCATTATAAAGCTGAAAAGGTATTCAATGTTGCCTATGATCAGTCAAGAAGTTCGCCATGTTAAAAAACAGGCGTGGTCACACCCCAAAAGGGCGTGGTTTCCACAAAATTTTACGGCACGCTTCACATGCCGCACAACTTGCCCTCTCTTTCCAAAAATCCTTGCTACGCCACTGTTAGTGATGTATTATATGATATTCATAGAGACATGGCCAATGGAAACCAGGCTTAACACAAGAAACTGCATATCGAATCGAAACAAAAGAAAAAAAATACAAAAGAATACTTCTATAAACAAATGATAAATTCTAATTAAAATCAATGACAGCTGCTGACCACCTGAAACTAGGCCTAAGCTTGTGGTTGCTTTGATGTACCACTTATGATATTCATAGCATTGTGTATGTTCAGGTGTGACAACCTACAGACAATGATTGGTCGCATTTTGTCAGTATATAAGACACCTCAGTAGTGAAGTTTAATTGTCGTGGTCAAACATTTGTTGCTTCGAAATTCCAATTTTCGGAGGGACATTATTGTCCCCTAGTTACAATGTACATGTATAATAGCCTAAATGTCTGTCTTACAATATTAATTTTGTAATAATTATTGATAAGTGAGTATAATTCTCAATTCCTTTTGTGACATTATTTAATTTCAATGAGGCCAATCCCATTTCATTTCCTCAAATAAAATACACCATTTTGTACTATTATCAGTGATGCCATTTTAAGCCTCTTGGCCCTGTTTGCTGCTATGCTTAATTAAGACTGATTTGTCAAAATAAAAATCAAATCCACATCACCAAATTTTAGCAATTCACCAAAATTGCCAATGATACAACATTGTACAGTACAATACTGTAAAGCAAGCATAATTACTTATAATCTATTATTTATTTATTTTATTTACTTGTAGTTAAAGGAGAAGTTGGTTGAAATGGAGGCCAGAGATGATCGTAGGGCCATCATACTAGCTGATGTACTGGAGAAGACAGCAAGAGCCTACCAGAGACAACTACAATCACAACCAGCAGCACCAGCACCTCCTCCCACTAGCAAGAAAGACACCAGGTAATAATTTGGCAAATTGCTAAATGATTTGTGGATTTAATGTGACAAATTTGTGGCCGCGTGCCATTGAGCATGCGAATAATGGCTGAAAATGGTGGATTTTTATTTTGGCAAATGACTATCAAAACGCCAATTGCCACATTTAATCCCCTCCTAAATTTCCCGCTATACAATAGATTGGTTTTAATTTGACAAACTTATGGGTCATGTGCCATTGAGCATGTGCATAATGGTCAGAATAGTTCTGGTGAATGACTGTATCAAAATGTTAAATTTGTCAAAATTTCCCCCTCCAAAATTACCAGCTACAATACAATACAGCATTTCTAATGTACATGTACATGTAGGCCAGTCAGTGCTCCAGCAGTTTATCCTTTTGCAAAATAATTTTAATTCAAACACTACTTACATGTACATGTACTTATACATGTATACATGTGAAATTGTATAGAATTATGCAGTATTATTATTATTAGTGTATTTTATTGTGTACATACATGTACATAGGCCTGTTAGTGCTCCTGCAGTTCAGTTTGATGACTTGTATGAGGAGCAGAGAGACATGCTCTCCCTTTCTTACCATTATCCTCTCAGTACACCACCCACCCATCACCACACACTCACCACTGGGCCTTACAACAATGGAGGAATCAACAGGAGGAGCATCATTAAGAAGAAAGGGCATATTAAGGTAAGTGTGGGGTTTAGAGGAGAAAAATAAATTAATAGCTGCAGTGTCACTACTTTAAGCTGCACTATGAAGTACATGTACATGTATACTTGCAGTAATGGTCATTGTATTACACATGTGTACATGTACAGTGGAACTTTTGAATAGCGAAACTTTTGGGACACTAAATTTTTTTAATTGCATGGAAGGTTTCATTAAAGATAGGTTTTTAATTAATAAGGAATGACGTTAGTACATCAAAATTTTTTCAATATATAGAGGTTTTTGTTACAGAGAAGTTTCATTATCGGAGGTTCCACTGTACATGTACATGTAAATGTATGTGCATATGCAAAGTAGAGAAAGGCTACCATCACTTACTGTTCATGTTTTTATTGTATTTAGGCAAAGTCTGTTCCTAGACTGCCCCCAATAGGAAGAAGTAGACCTGATTTTAGGATAGTAACTAGTAAAGACGTGAAGCAAAGATATAAAGAGGTTGATTGTTTGATTAAGAAGAAATCAAATAATGATTCATGTGACTGTGAAGTCTGTGCTGCTAACAGGTAAGGAGGGAAAAATTGAAATAATAATAATTATATTTTTAATGTAAAGTAATCAAAAATGTCCATTGTTACTATAAATAATATGCATACGTACATGTATACATGTATTTCTATTGCAATACACATGCATGTACATGTAATTAGTATAGTACATGTACATGTACATGTAGCTTTTAATGTATGGTGCTTTGACTGAAAAATCATTTATTATTATTATTATTATTATTATTATTATTATTATTATTATTATTATTGGTAGAGGTGAAATTAAGAGACCGGATTACTTACCTGGTCTAACTGGTAAGACTGGTTTGGAGAGACTGAGAGAAGAAGCTGACAGGAGAGAAGAGGAACTAGCAAAACAACTTAAACTGGGACAGCGTGTACTAGTACAAGTTAAGAAATCAAGTAAGAGGAGGAGGAGGAGGAAAGGATGTACATTGTATAGGCACTACATGTATGTGTGTATGTACGTGTATATATACCATCTACATGTACATGTATTTTAAGGGAACCGGATTTTTCATAATTAAATTGATCATAACTCGAAAAATTAAAGTCGAAATCAGCTCAAATTTTCTAAATAGCATAAGGACGTCGATATGTATCAGAAAAGATAATAAAAATTTGGGGTGATTTCGGAGCCATTTTTTGGAAAAAACCATGGGCTATAGCCTTGGGTATTTTTCAAAATTTGGCCGTTTTTTTTTTAATGGCCTTAACTTTTAAAATTGAAGTCGGAATCAGCTCAAATTTTTTACACAGCATAAAGACATCAATATGTATCAGAAAATGTAATAAAAATTTGGGTTGATTTTGGAACCATTTTTCAGAAAAAACTGGGTGTTTTTCAAAAATCAGCCATTTTTAAAAAACGGCCGTAACTTGAAAAATTGAAGTCGGAATCAGCTCAAACTCTCTACACAGCATAAGGACATCAATGCGTACAGAGCCTGAAATTACATTCAAACAGTGTTCTGACATTATGTCTAAACACAGCCTATTTTGGTCTGACATTTGAATGAAATGGTCGAACATGTTCATTTATCCTTTTTACACATATTAGGGGTCATTTATGTGTCAATGTGTGTGCTTGTTAGTGAGTTTAATTAAAAAATTTTTTTACAAAAGCATAACCATTAATTTAGTAATAATTACTAATAAAAATTTTGTGTTGTTTACTAATGTTCAGACAAAATGGTAGAACAACACGGTAGTTGGTCAGACAATTAAGCAAAATGGTCGGAAAATGTCTGATGTCCGACTGTAATTTCAGGCTCTGGTGTATCAGAAAATTTAATTAAAATTTGGAGTGATTTCGGAGCCATTTTTTGGATAAAAAACATGGGCTATAGTACAGGGTAATTTTCAGAATTTTGGCCTATTTTTGTTCATCATTATGCACCACATCATTGCACTTCTGGTGATTATCATCATTATTATTATTACTATTTGTATTTCAGTGTATGATTTGGAGCCACAGAAGCTAACTGGTGTTATAAAGTACATTGGTAAAGTAGACAAGGAATACGTTGATAATAGAATATATGTTGGAGTCAAACTTGATGAACCAGGTTTGTATAATAATAAATGTACAACTGTACATGTACATGATGTATAGCTGGTTTTAACTGGGCGATGAAAGTAATACCTAAAATTTTGGTGTCATTTTATTTCTAAATTGCCGAAGAAACTTG